GTAACGTCTCCATTGGAGACTTTGTTGTTACTGTGTTTGGCATATCGAATACTCTCGGTAGCTTGCCGGGCTCTCCGAGAGGGGTGGAGGAATCGAACTCGGGTCGGCCATGTTGGCCACTTGTAAGGCGAACACCCTACCGCTGTGCTATCGCTCCAGCCCACCAATAATATACAATGAGTAAAAGGTATTTATTCAAATAGTGTAGGAAAACTGTACGTCTACATGTAAATCAACAGAATTTCATCATTACCTTGAATCATACACAGAATTCCTTGTTACTTCTGAATGCTGTTTTGCCTTCACAGGTTAGGGTTCATACCACCAGCAGAGCAATATGCAGCTGTGCATTTTTTCGCCTCTTAATCTCAACATGAGCCTACATTGATATCCAACCCCTAGTGCACAGCCACACAAGAATACACAAGAATACACAATAATACATGTCCAGCCTGCAAAAGTCACAATGGTAAAGCAACACAGAACCCCACCAGGCTTAGGGAAGTGAAGATCATAGCATGAAAGAATCAACCAAGTAATAATGAGATATATAATACTATTATAAGACATATAATGAGAGGAAATGTTGAGGATGTTTAAGGAGCTCAAATAAACAATGGGACAGACCATTAATAAAACACAAGAAGATAAGAGAGCAGAAATGAGTAAACTAAAAACAGAAATGATAAACCTGAAAATCCTGGTAGTCAAATGAAAACTCACTGGAAGGCCTCATTGGCAGAGTAACAGCTGCTGAGAACAGAATCAGTGAGCTCCAAGATGAGGTGCAGAAAATGTCTAGACAACAGAAGAAGATGAAATATAGTGTCAAAATGAAACAAACAACCGACAGGAGAAATTTAAGATGAATTCAGGAAGAACAACATAGGACCTATCAGAGTCCCAGAGGACTGGGAAGGCAAGGCCGATGAAGAAACAACAGTGAAAACCATTGCTGCCAAGAAGTTCCCAGAGCTGGAGAGACAGGCTACCAGAACCAGGAAGCCCGAAAGGGACAAGCTAAAAAAGATGCAAATAAAATGTTAATCACAAACAGAAATAGAGAACTACTCAGACATACATACGGATCAACAAAAACCATAGATTTAGATAGAATACTGAAAGCAGCCAGATCAAAGGGAATTATAAGCGAATTATAAATCTTAAGGAACATCCTTAAGATTTACAGCAGATTTACCAAACAGAATCTTCTTTCAGTGGTAAAATATAGTGATAAAAATCAATGAAATTAATGCCTCACTAATTATACTTTACCCAGTCAGACTCTCATTCAGATTTGAAGAAACTTCACAAATAAACAAGTCAGGAACCTCAATCGACTCAAAACTATCTTTATAAGAAGAACTAAAGGGTCTAGCTTAAGACAAGAAAAATCTCAAAACACACCAAACTCCTGCAGAAAATTCCATGACAGTAATTCCTCTCAATGTCAATGGGGTAACTATATGAATTAAGAGACAAAGAGTGGCAGATTGTGCTAGGATAGAAGAGATACCTCCACAATGTCAAGTGGATAGAAGGCACATCAACTATCTAATCAGGCCTTGAGGGACTGAAAATGGAAGTTAATCACAAACAGAAATAGAGAAGCAACTTAAAAATATGGAAATTAAATAGCTTATTATTGATCAACCAGTGGGCCAGAGATAAAATTAAAATTAAAGATTCAATAAAAAATATATAGTAGAAGACTAATATCGAAGACAAGGGAAAACAAGGGCTAGCAGGACTGGTCACTGGTTGGAATCTACCACAAGTGTTTATGGTGCGAAGGAAAGATAGGGTAGAGAAGAGACTAGTATGACAATAATAGTTGGAAATGATCATACCGGACAAGAATTTAAAGTAAGTTAAGATATAAACATGACAACCTTTCAATATTTGCATTGTAAACCACAATGCCCAAAAGCAGGGGTGGTGGGGGGGAGACACAAAGAGAGAGACAGGGAGCGAGAGAGACAGAGACAGAGACCAAGATTTCTGCCATCGAGGCAAGTTGGGGGTGGGGTGGGTGTGATGGGAGGGAAACTGGAGACACTGGTGCTGGGAAATGTATGCTGGTGGAGTATTATTTACCATATTAATAAAAGAAAAAATCATACGATCATATCAATGGATCACGATCACGGTCCTCCTGTTGTTCATCGATCTCCTCAAGCGGGCCCAGTAACATTGTGAGACTTGTTACTGTGTTTGGCGTATCGAATATGTCACGGGGAGCTTGCCAGGCTTTGCTGTGCGGGTGAGACACTCTCAGTAGCTTGCCGGGCTCTCCGAGAGGGGCGGAGGAATTGAACTCAGGTCGGCCATGTTGGCTGCGTGCAAGGCAAATACCCTACCTGCTGTGCTATCACTCCAGCCCATCAATGGATAAAAAGAGATTATTTGACAAGATCCATTCATAATAAAAGCCACTCACCAAAATGGTAATGAAAGGAACTTCCTTTAACCATTTATCACATGCCCATAGAAAACATACTCAATGGGGAAAAACTAAAAGTCTTCTCTCTAAGATCAAGCACAAGACAATGTTGCTCACTCTTATCATTTCTATTCAATATAGCACTGGAGGGCTGGAGTGATAGAACAGTGGGTAGGGTGTTTGCCTTACACACAGCCAACATGGCTGACCCGAGTTCGATTCCTCTGCCCCTCTTGAAGAGCCTGGAAAGCTATCGAGAGTATCTCGCCTGCACAGTAAAGTCTGGCAAGCTCTCGTGACGTATTTGATATGCCAAACACAGTAACAAGTCTCACAATGTTACTGGGCCCACTTGAGCAAATCAATGAACAATGGGAGGACGGTGACAGTGATAGTACTGGAAGAACTTGCCACAGCAATTAGGCAAGGAAAAGTCATGGAATCAGAGTATAAATATCATCAAAATGTCAATACTCCAAAAGCATTGAACAGATTTCATATAGTTTCCATAAGGCTACTCATGCCATTTTTAAAAAATATCAATCAGTCTTGAAATTCATATGGAACAATAAACTCCTCTTGAATAGCTATAAAAATCCTGGGTAAAAATAACTTCAAAATGTGCTACAAAGTAGTAGCAATTAAAAGCAATATGGTACTTTAATAAATACCAACACTTAGATAAATTGATAGAGTTGATTATCCTGAGATCTTTAGTTATATGATCATTTAAATTTGATAAAAGGAGCAATAAATATGAAGTGGAGCCAGAAAATCCTCTTCAACAAGTAGTGTTGGGAAAACTGGTCAGCTACATACAAAACTATGAACTTGGACCTCTTTCTAATGCCATGCACAGAAGTGAAAACAAAATGGATGGAATACCTGGAAATCACCTTGGATCCATACAGCACATAGACAAAAATGTAGCCCTCTTTGTAAGGCCATGCACAAAAGTCAAATCAAAACTGATTAAAGAACTTGATATTCGACCCAATTCTATAAGGTACAGAGAGGAAAATGCAGGGATCTGGATAGTATCATGCTGACTGAGGTTAGTCAGAGGGAAAGACACTGACATGGAAAAATCTCTCTCATATTAAGGGCATAGTGATGAAATAAAAAATACATAAAGACAATGGAAACAAAGAATATGAGAATTGGCATTCAGTAGGAAACATTCTACCTGAGGAAGTTGGGGTATAAGACAGGGAGGGGCTAACATCACTTGTGGTGGGAATCATTCAAGCAGGGTGGTGCTGAAACATACTAAAGTGTTATGAAGGAAGCTCTATCAGCAACAGGAATGTAAATCACGTTGCAGAAATGCAGAAACAAGCAAACAAAAATGCCTCTCACAGAAGCGGAGTGGTTAGGAAGCAGAAAAGTTGGGGGCACTGGTCAAGAGGAAGGGACAACGGTGAAGGGGTTGGTGTTGAAACACTGCATATCTGAAAGTTGTTCAATTATGAATAACTGTAGTTTCACAGTGACTAAATAAAAATTTCCAAAAAAATTAAAGACAAATCTAATACCTGAAACTGTAAACTCCTAGAAGTAACCATAGGAAAATTTCTTCTGGTTATAGTCATGAACTATAACCAGAAGTTCATTTCTATGTTTTGGGTGCCATTCTTTGGTATGGCACCAAAAATATAGAAAGGAAATCAAATAGATGAGTGGGACTACACACAATTAAAATTCTTCTGCTTAATGAAAAATAGAATTAAGTTTAAATATGATACTATGGAATAGAAAGTATTTTAAAACTACATAAATTACATGAAATAAATATTTAAAGTACAAAAAGTTCTTACAACTTAGAGTCAACAAATTACCTGATTAAAAAATGGGCAAAGATCACTGTATGACTGAAACATAATCACAAAAGTTTGTAAGTCTGTAACTGTATCTCATGGAGATTCATTAAATTTTTTAAAAAATGGGCAAAGAATATGAATAGGCATTTCACCATAGATAGTATAGAGCCAATAGATATATGAAGATTATCTATATACACAGAGAGTTCTATCACCTCATAACTGTTAGAATTGACATTATAAAACTTTCTTGGGGGCTGCTCAAGCAGTACTTAGAGGACTCTGGCACTAACCCTGGTTATTCTTGGCCAATTGAGATCTTCAGTTGAATGAACTGGTCCAAGGATATGATAGCCAAGATATGTATCTATGTAGATCATGTGAAATCAAACCTGATGGCATATTCAAAATTTCTTGTTGGACATAGATTACCCATTTTCTCTGATCTCTTTTACCTTCAAACATATACACTAAACTCACACAGTCCCTCTGATCTCACAGACAACCTCTTGCTACCTTCATTCATGTATATGTACATGATATATATAATTTCACCATACAGAAAAAAAATCCAAAAGAACTTATACATTAACTTTGTCTGTAAAAAAAAGTAAACATTTTGTGGGTAACACATGTTTGATAACAACTAAGGAAAATTTATATACATATAGTTTTTGTATATAATTTTTATACATTGCAAACGTTTCATGGGCTTCCTTTTTCATTATTTATCTTACCTTTTGCAAGTACAAAACTGTTCCTTTCAGCACAGCATAAAAGGTTTTCCACCCTCTCTTTCCTCTTGGAGCTAGAAAGAAATATATGGACAATATCACTTGACAGAAATAACCACACAGAAAAAACCAAATGAGAAACATATTTCAAAAATGATTAGGTTAGAAAGTTGGTGGATATTAGTCATGCAGATTAGTAATGGTGGAAACTAAATTCATTATTCTCTATTCATACCATACACTAGACAGCATTCTGAAAATGTTTTCCATTTATTATCTCATTTAATCCTTATGGTTCCTAGGTATTTTACAAAATGGAAGAAGTGAGAAAGATCTGGCTCATGAGACTAAAGAGAGGAGCAGCAGAATTATTAAACACACATCACAGTTTTACAATCTAAACTCTAGGGTTGAAGCTAACAGCTCAGAAGACTCTATGAACAATAACCAGATCTATAACCTCTGGAACTTTAGGGACACCATGACGCTGACATTTAATACACTCAAAGAAACAATGGTACATGCATAAGAAAACATGAGAGAAGATATGAGAAAACTACACTCAGAAGTGACAGAACTGAAGAGTATAATAAATGAAATAAAAATCTTACTGACAGGCCTCAACAGCAGAGTGATAACAACTAAGGAAAAATTATATACCTAAATTATATGTATATAATTATATGTGTATATAATTATATGTGTATATAATTACATATGTATATAATTTTATACATAAATATAATATGCGTGTATATACACAGACATACACATATTATTGGTTGGTGTGTGATGCTGGTGATCAAACCCAGATCTCAATTGTGCAGGGCACAAACTTTGCCACTGAGGCACACCCCTGATCTTGACTACAAACTTTGTAAATAAAAAAGTGACTACCAAGAGGGAACCATGTATAATTTTAAATATAATCATACTTACATACCACTTACATAAAATAATATATAATAAATACTGATTGCATTTTTCAATATATGCCAAACCATAATACTACTGATGTGAAAACAGGAACAAAGTGACCACAGGCTGAATAGGAACAAAGGGAGAAGGCTGAGGTGCCCCACTGAACTGCAGAAGAGCTGGTATCCATCCTAGATTTAAACCCATTCTCTTACCAAGCCATAATTTAGTAACTTCTTGGCAGATCCCCAAGTTCTCAAGATATCTGCTATTTCATTTTAAATTGTGGAGAGTTCACATGAGACAAAACATTGGCTAATTCTAGAAAGGAACTTAAGAGAAAACACTGAAATAGAGGGAACATATGTTCTAGAAAGTGAGGTTTTCCCAAAGTCCTAGCACTAGGTTAGTGGTATCTTGAGACTCCTATAGTCTATAACATCTATAGATGCATATTTCTATTTGTGAAGCATAAATCTCTTATAGATGAATCCAGATGTATGTTCACATTTTTTCCACAAATTTTATTACTATTTTATGCCCACTAGAACCAGATTCTAAAGATTTCTCCAAATGAAAAGTGATCTTAAGTCCTTGAGTTTAATCCTTAACATATTTTTTCATCCCTCTCAAAAGTATAAAACTTAATCTTGTTTTTGTTTTTGTTTTTTTTTTATAATCTTGTTTTTGTCAAGTCTAATTTCATTGTTTTAGTTTAAGTGAAGCAATCATTTAGAACAAGTTAACTTAGAAGGAAGTAGCTAGCATATAGCTAGTATGCAATGAAAGTGCAACTCTAAATGCCTTTATAGGTATTTATACATTTGACACACTATAATGTTAAAACTTAAGTACTTATTCTATCCTAATTTTACAGATAGTATTATGTGAATGCAAATGAGTAGAATTCAGGGGATAAGGGACTAAAGTGCACAAGAGCAGGCTGGAAGGTTCTCAAAGGTTGGCTCACCTGTCTTGACACTGACACAAAGCAATAAATGAGGAGCTCTCATAAAGGTAACTGCAGAGGGGCTAGAGCAGTAGCACAGTGGGGAGGGTGTTTACCTTGCATACGGCTGACCCAAGTTCAATCCCCGGCATCCCATATGGTCCCCCAAGCACCATCAGGAGTAATTACTGAGTGCAAAGCCAGGAGTAACCCCTAAGCATTGCCATGTTTGACCAATAAAGAAAAAACAATGACTGCAGAATGAGCTCAAAATGATTTCACTGCACATATACTATTAAACACATAACACTGAAAAATGAGCTGTAACTATTGTCATATAATGTAATAAAGGGGGAAATGAGTGGGGTTATTGATTGGAAATCGAATATATTTTATTTAAATTGTTTAGATAAGATAGGGATAGTAGACAGTTGGAGGGTACACTTTAAAATAAAGTTGCCACTTTGTCTCTAGGTTAGGAGGCCCCAAGAAACTCACCACCCCCTGGCTTAGATCCTCCCAGCCCTGGTCCTCAAACCAGAAGCAGCATGGTGTCACGGCAGTTTGTTCCTCAGGGTTCCCAGTTTGCCCCCAGGTTACGAGGCCCTTTGAAGCTGGGGCTGCCATGCAGCCACACACTCTTGATCTCTTCACATTTCACTGTAAACACAGGAAGACATCCTAAATGCAGTTTCCTAGCCACAAAAAAAAACACTGCCCTTCCAACTGCAAGTCACAATGGGAAAGCAACACATATTGGCATGCACAGTGGCAGAAGATGGTAGCCCTGAAACTCAACCAGCAATAATGGACTTTGTAACCTCAGAAATATTGAGGATGTTTAAGAATTTAAAGAAACAATGAACAGATCACCAATAAACACAAGAGGATATGATCAGAAATGAGAAAACTACAAATAATTATGACAGAACTGAAAAACCTGGTAGGCAAAATGAAGAACTCAGTGAAAGAAGGCACCAGCAGAGTAACAGATGCTGAGGCCAGAATCAGTGAGCTCCATCTTCAAATTGTACTACAAAGCAGCAGTAATTACAACAGCAAGCTACGGGAATAAAGAGAAACCCTTGGGTATATAAGTGAATTATATTTGATCTAAGCAATAGGTATTATTGCCTCTTTTACACAATAATGGCTCCATTGTTAATTACATTCCTAGTTCTGAGAGAGTAAGAGGCTTAGAGGCTACTTTTCTAGGAATTTTCAAGTTACCATACAGGACAATTAAAGGAAATGAATTCTAAAGGCACAGTTAAGAAGGGGAAACTGCCCACGTGATAATCTTTTACAGTGGTCATGAAGTATTATACTTGAATGACAGTGAATGCAGGTGTAGAGAAAGGAGATTAGTAGAAGAGAATTCAAGTCAGGCATGCACCCTAATTTCACTGAACTCCTAATTTCACCTCCAAAGTTGTCCCTTATTCTGATGCATGATTCCCTTGTGGTCCAACATTTATGCAGAGTAATGATTATAGCAATAATAATTCATCGATTGTTATTCATCGATTGCCTCGAGCAGGCCCCAGTAACATCTCCTTCATCCTAGCCCTGATATTTTTAAGAAAGTGCTATATTCAAGGCTCTTTAGGAGAATGAGACCCATCATTGTTACTGGTATTTGGCATATTGGGTACGCCACGGGAAGTTTGCCAGACTCTGCTGTGTGGGCAGGTTACATTCCGTAGCCTGCCAGTTTGTCCAAAGTAGGAATGAGGTAATAAGATGTCATAATAAGATGTTGTGCGGCCCTGAATGCGGCTGTGCGGTTCCGGGAGCTGGTTTTTATAGTCTCTGAGTCTTGGCTGTTGATGGGATTATACGGCGCCAGGGGGCCAGTTGGTGGGTATGACCCCCACCTACTGGAATTCAGAAGATCTGGGTGGAGGATGCTCAGCCCCGATCTGAGTAGGCTTGGAGATCTAAGCCCCGGGACCCACTTGCCTTGTTCCTCTGTCAGTACCTTCAGGTGTGCGGAGAGTGGACTCAGCATGGTGGTGGCTGGTCCTGGAGGTCTTCAGCTGCCAGAGACCTGGTCAGGGCGGGGAGGAAAGCTCAACCCACTTCCCTTCAAGGGGCCCCGGCGAGGACAGCCAGGCGCGGGTGCAGGACTGCACTGTTCTCTTCCGGGAGCTGGTTTTTATAGTCTCTGAGTCTTGGCCGTTGATGGGATTACACGGTGCCAGGGGGCCAGTTGGTGGGTGTGACCCCCGCCTACTGGAATTCGGAAGATCTGGGTGGAGGATGCTCAGCCCCGATCTGAGTAGGCTTGGAGATCTCAGCCCTGGGACCCACTTGCCTTTGTTCCTCTGCCAGTACCTTCAGGTGTGCGGAGAGTGGTCTCAGCATGGTGGTGGCTGGTCCTGGAGGTCTTCAGCTGCCAGAGCCCTGGTCGGGGTGGGGAGGAAAGCTCAACCCGCTCCCCTCCAAGGGGCCTCGGCGAGGACAGCCAGGCGCGGGGGCAGGAGACTGCACTCTTCTTTTCCGGGAGCTGGTTTTTATAGTCTCTGAGTCTTGGCCGTTGATGGGATTACACGGAGCCAGGGGGCCAGTTGGTGGGTGTGACCCCCGTCTACTGGAATTCGGAGGATCTGGGTGGAGGATGTTCAGCCCTGATCTGAGTAGGCTTGGAGATATCAGCCCCAGGTCCTGCTCGCCTTTGTTCCTCTACCGGTACCTTCAGGTGTGCGGAGAGTGGCCTCAGCATGGTGGTGGCTGGTCCTGGAGGTCTTTGGCTACTGAAGCCCTGGTCGGGGCAGGGAGGAAAGCTCAACCCGCTCCCCTCCAAGGGGCCCCGGTGAGGACAGCCAGGCGCGGGGGCAGGAGACTGCACTGTTCTCTTCTGGGAACTGGTTTTTATAGTTTCTGAGTCTTGGCCGTTGATGGGATTACACGGAGCCAGGGGGCCAGTTGGTGGGTGTGACCCCTGCCTACTGGAATTCGGAGGATCGGGGCTGAGCATCCTCCACCCACATCCTCCACCCAGCAATAATAATTATTACAGAAATAACGAAAATACATATTAAATATGTTTTGGGACTATACCCAGCTGTGGCCAGAATTCACTCCTGTCTCTGTGCTCTAGGATCACCCCCAAATGGGTACAGGGGACCATATGTGGTGCCAGGGATTAAAGTATTCTGGCCTTGTGCACGGCAAAGCACCATACCTGCTATACTATCTTTCTCT